CGGTAGTTGACCAGGAGAAATTGGCCCCAAATCAGACTGGGGTCCAAGCCAACATCTTGTGAGCTAATTGAGAGGGGCAATTAACTTAGTTTGCAACCGAGTTATCAGTCAACATTCATTAAAAGGCAGCCTATGACCCTCTTGAGATAATTGAGAAAGTGAACCTTTTGACAGATAACTCAGAATGTGGCTTCCTGAGCAATTTTAGGTCAAAATATTTCAGGTAGTAAGTGATGGAAAAGCTGCTCTCTGCTGGCAGACAAGAGGTGAGGCTGGTTAGATTAGTGGTTCTCAACCTGGGTTGGGACCCCTTTTGGGGTCGAATGGCCCTTTCACAGGGGTCTAAGACCATCGGAAAACACATATTTTTGATGGTCTTAGGAACCAAGACACCAATTTTATGGTTGGGGGTCACCACAACATGAGGAACTGTATTAAAAGGCCACGGCATTGGGAAGGTTGAGAACCACTAGGTTAGATGGAGCAAGACATTTGTGTAAGTTTCAAAACTTCACCATGTTTTTGGCTCATGGACCTCCTACATCGGTTATTTTGGAGCAGGGGTGTCCAAACTTAGGAACTTTAAGACTTGTGGGCTTCAACTCCCAGAATGGCTGGCTGGGGAATTCTGAGAGTTGAAGTCCACAAGTCTTGAAGTTCCCAAGTTCCTGTTTTAGAGCCATGATGGCTTCCAGCTGGCTGCCATAATCCCAAGGCAGCCCTAACACACCTTCCCCTCCGTCAACTTTCTGTTCTGACCGAGGCTTCCCAAGAGCATGAAGCAACTCTTTGTCCCAACAAAAAAACCCTTTTTATTAACTGACTCTGAATTCTGCTCATTCACATCCAGCGAAGTCTTTCAAGGGAGGATTTACCGTCACAGACCTTATATGGCTTGGATAGCTGCCAGGCCAATATCTGCAACACGTGGCAAGGAGTCTCAAGTGAACTACTTGTCTCCTGCAAACTCCCCTCCCCTTTCACTCCTCTTTTATTTCCTCCAGGCGGGGCCATCACCCACTGTGGCCTTACTCCCAAGTCGACCCCTGTTCTTTAGCTGTTCCTTTCATCTGGCAACTCTGCGCATGCGCACACTGGGAACAGGCTCCAGCTGTTCGTCTGCCTCACTGATATCTGACTCTGAAGGCAGCTGAAAACTGGCATACAGCTCTGTCCCCTCTCTGCCTCCGACAAAGAGCCCTCATCAGAGCCTTCCCCAGACTCCAGGACTGGCCCAGGTTCCTCCCCAACCTCCTCACTGTCTGAATCTGCTGCCAGCTCTCCTGGTGGGTCACAACACTTCCGTTTTACAGTGTTTAATCCAAGCCACAGAGGCTCCTAGCAAAACTAGGACAGGTGAGAACCAGTTACTCACTTTGTGTCGTCTGCCACCTCAACCTCGGCAGGTGCGGTGATGGGGGCGTTTGAGTGGCCGGCAGTGGGGTCATCCGTGTTCAACTCCCCATTGGTAGAACTCATGACCTAAAAGAGAGCAAGCAGGTGAGAAGAGCCAAGAATATCGGGCAGGGCTTCAGCTAGAGGTGGCTTAGGGTCTTTGCAGTATCACAAAGAGGGGAAATGAACGGGAGAGACAAAGCAGGGCTCAGGCATGCTGGCCTCATGCTACTACGGTACAAATCAAAACTTCGCTCCGCTTCTTAATCTTGTTTCTGTTCCTGCAGAAAGCGGCTGCAGGAAGAAAGGCCTCTGCTTACATCCAGCCAAGCTTTCACAGCAAAGGGGGCTAACTTCCGATGTGAAATTCCATCCAACAGAAACCTGCCTCCCAATGAAAATAATATAGGCAGTTCTTGACTTACGGCTGGTTGCTCAGTGGCTCTTTGAAGTTATGACAGGCCCCCAAAAGCTAATTTTGACCCAGTTCTGAAGTTATGACGGCCAGCGTCTCTCCATGGTCATGAGACTGCATTTGGACGCTGGGTAATTTACAGCCGTTTTGTTAGGTACTGAGGATTTAATAGCTGGCAGCTGATGTAAGGTTATAAGCAGTAAACTGTAAGCTGATGCAATGAGGATGATTCAGCAATACATGTATATATATATATATATATATTTAGGTGGCCATTAGAGGGCGTTTTTCTCTTGTGTATCTCATTTCTCTCCTTGTGTCCGTAGCTGAGTGGTAAGGGATTTATCTACTATGTGTATGTCTGTATATATGTATATATAAACCACTATTAATTGTCTAAAGGCTCTGTGTGCTCTGTTTTGCTGAATGGGTTTATCTCATAATAATAATCACACTGCCAAACCTCTTGACACGTTTGTGTGACTGTGACTTATAACATTTTGTTTGGAGACCAGCGTTTACTTCCAGCTATTGGCAAAACCTGCCCCATAGAGAACCATAAGTTTGCTTAGCAACATGATGTTCACTTAATGAAAGCTGTAAACCAAGGGATGTAAAACCAGGCTGGTCATGTGATGACCCACTCTACGACCGTCTTGACTTACAACCATAACTGCCAGGCTCAATTACAGTCATAAGTCAAGGACTATCTCCTTGGACACCACCACCCCCCCCCCCCGGCTTATGGTAAAGGAACACATTTGTGTGTGTGGAGGTTCAGCATCTTTATCAAGTGGGCAGAGAGATCCTTAATTTTGGAAAAGCTGAAGTGGGCTAAAGCTGGTTTTCCTGAACAATGTCATTTCACATTCAGGAGATTCAGAAATAATAGTTCTTTTCTGAACACATTGCTCCTTTCCTCTCTGGCTCAAACCAAGGTGTCAGGCCTGCAGTCATATTCCTTTTAGGATCTTTGGTCTCTCCCTCTCCCCCTCCCCCCTCTCAATTTACTATGCTATTTCACTAGTGTGGTAATTGGGAGGGGGAATAGTAAGGAGTAGAATTGTAGAATGTGTTGTTGTCAAAATAAGACATTCCTTTCTAGAAGCCCAAGGTTATCCTTTGTCTCCGCACCTGACTGGAACTAGATGGGTGGAAATTCCAGGGTGGCAGAGGAAGATTGGACCATGTGATGGACTTTTGGGTGTGGGGCCAAGATCATGAACTTTCAACTGAGTGGAAACCCCAGGCAGCTTTCAGATTCTGGTTTCCACAGATTGTACCAACATGTCTCTCTTATTAAATTGGAACTTTGAAGAAAGCTATGCCTTTGACTCTGATTTAATTCTGGATGATATTTGGAATGCTGACAGCGGGTTTTCCGGTCAGCTCCACAATTGACAGGGCTTTTGGTTAGGACAGGTAGAGGAAAGAGGATGCCGGGCTAGGAGGAGACTCTATGGTGGGGAAACAGGACTTACGGTCGGCTCCAGAATTGAACGGAGGCTTCCAGTTAGGACCTTTGTGGCT